ACCAGGGTTTCAGCAGTTCCTCTTTGTTACATTACCCTTGATTATGCCCTATCAGGCCTCCCACACCCACCTCACCACCAATTTGGATCATTTGTTGTTCCCTTGTCCCTGGGTTTGTTAACACCACTTCCTTTTCCCCAACCTCCCCCTCTCCCATGTCCCCCCACAACTGTTGTTTTCTCCAGATTGTCCATCCAGCCCATCTTATTTAGACAGAACTGCGGAGATAATAACATGCACAAAAACAAGACAGAGCAAAACCAAGCAACAATATACAACAAAATAACAATAACAACAAACCAATGACAAAAAAAACCAAAACACAGCAAGAAAGAAAAGTTTGTAGTTAGTTCAAGGATCGTTTGTTGGCCTTTAGGAGTGTTTTCCAGTCCAGTCTGTTGGGGCACCACGCCCTGGCCCCAAAGTCCACCTTCTGCATTCCCTGGGGACGCTGCTTCATGCCCTTGCTGTTCTGTTGCACTCCCTTAGTGTTTTGCCTCGGTGTGGCGGGATTAGATCGGGTGCAATTCCCACACTGTGTCTCTAGGGTGGTCCCCTGTAGGGCTATGGGTCAGTGAGGGGCGTCATGTCTCACAGTGGGCCTGGCCATGTGGTCCTCTCTGTGGACTGGCTGCTCTAATTGGGAGCATTATCCTCAAGGCCTGGTGAGCCAGGATGTGCTCCACTCTCTCCTCCTCCCCCTTCATCAGCTGACATGTGCTCCAATCAGATATGTCCCTCTCCCGGAGCTGCAGATTCAGTGCTGTCCTTTGAAACAAATTCTTCTGGGGAACGACATTATTCTACAGAAAAAAAATAAGATACCTCATGACAACTTCCCTGTCCTTTTCCTCACCCTCAGTTCTCTTAAAATGTAGGTTATCTCAGGACACACAATGATCACTGGGAATTATTAGGAATAAGATTTAAGAAAATTGAAAACTACACCAAGAGTACACCTTTGGGATCTTAAAAATAGTCAACTGCCTCCTTGAGCGCACCACAGGCTGTGCTCTTGCACTGACTGAATAGAAAAAGGAGGTGAAGTAAGGGCCCTGTCTACACCTCAACCCAAGCCCTGTGCCTGCTTTTGTGTTGTGAATGGGACAACGTGGCACTGAGATATGGATCTCTCTGCTCTCGTTTTCTTCCGGCAACTAGTCATTGCATGCTGGCTCGTGGCAGTGGTCTCTGGCTTGACTGTGGGTTTTTGCAGGGAGTGGCATGGCTATCAGTTTCCGGAGCTGGTGAAGATTGTCAACGACAATGCCACATACAGCCGCCTGGCCCAGTTCATTGGCAGCTGAAGCGCTGGACGGAGACACATCGGAGGAGCTGACGATGGATGGGGCCAAGGCAAAGGCCATCCTAGACGTCTCAAGGCCCTCCATGGGCATGGAATCCATCCACTTGACCGACATTGAGGGCTTCTCCAGCCGAGAGGTGTCTCTGTCAGAATACCGCCAGAGCTTACACACTTACCTGCGCCCCAAGATGAGCCAAGTAGCCCCCAGCTGGTCCCCTTAATTGGGGAAGCGCAGGCGCTCATCTCAGTGCACATGCTGGCGGCCTCACCAACCCGGCCAAGTCTCCAGCATCCACCGTGCAGATTCTCGGGGCTGAAAAGGCCCTATTCCGAGCCCTGAAGACCAGGGGAAACAGCCCTAAATACGTACTCATTTTCCAGCCCACCTTCATAGGCCAAGCAGCTGCCAAGAACAAAGGCCGCATCTCCGGATCCCTTGCAAACAAAGGCAGTACTGCCTGTCTGGGATCCATTGTTTCTCTGAGGGGTCCACCAGTGTATTTGGGGAAAAGCTTCGAGAGCTAGTGGAGGAGCGGCTCTCCTACGAGACTGGGGAGGTGCCTTGGGAGACTCTGGATGTGGTGATGGAAGAGGCAGTGGTTCAGGCGGAGGGAGGCTGCTGTGGAGATGACGAGGAAGCGGGGGACGAAACGCTTGAAAAAGGCAAAGAAGCACTGGCTGCCCTTGGCTTGCGTCTCAGGAAAGCAGCCATGCTCCTGAGGAGTGTGAGGTCTCCGAGCAGGAGACCCACGGGAAAGGCCCCCAGAGAAGAAACAGGCAGAGGGTCCAGGAGGCTCCACAGGAAAATGGATGGGAAGACTCAGCTAGCTTTGCTCTCCCCCAACCCAAGAAAAAGCGCTCTAAGGAGGAGCTGGTCAGCAGCGATCCAGAAGGGACACCTCCCCAAGAGAAAGAAACTGAAATCTAGCTCCCCCCCCCCCCCCCAGGGGGCCCTGCCTGTGATCCTCATGAGGCAGCAAAGGGCTGCGGGAGCATCCCAAAGAAGCAGCAGCAGCTCCCCGCGCAGGGGGAGCCACCAGCAGTGGACCCCAGGAGGCGGCTGCTAGCAGCAAGAGCAACAGGACCAAGAAAAAGGAAAAGATTTAAAAAACCAGTACAGGAAGATTAAAATGGACCTTCCCTGGTGCTCCCAACCCTCTCAATAAAAAAACAACAACTCCCCAAACCCCAAAACCCTGTCCCCCTCACCTTCTGACCTCTCCGCCTTGAGATTCCCTTGGAAGCCACTGTTTTGATTGGACTCTTTGGGGGCTCCCTCACCAGATGCAGATAAGTGAATCGCTGAGAGAACTTGTCCCCAGTCATCTGCTGATTGCAGGACCATGTTCCAAACGCCCTCTGTTTGGGATAAATCGGTGCCTGTCAGGACTGGAAGCCTCTTAGCCTGTCTCTCTCTCTCTCTCTCTCTCTCTCTCTCTCTCTCTCTCTCTCTCTCTCTCTCTCTCTCTCTCTCTCTCTCTCTCTCTCTCTCTCTCTCTCTCTCTCCCTCAATATGTGAATTAGAGCGCTTCAAACACTTTGTGGGAAATAGAACTAACAGATACTGGAACTGGAAAAAAAAGATTTATTCATACATAAAGCAACTGACAAAGTCCAGACCCAGGTCCACGATGGGCGAGGTGATCACGCCTGCCACTGTTAGAATAGTCTATCATGTTGGAAAAATGTTTCTGAAGATCTTAAAATGGCAAGGGGTGGCAAGGCTAAAGTTAATGTGTAAAGTTAAAAAACCAAACAAAATGGAACATGTGTTTTTGTTACCAGTGTACAAGAATTTATTAGAGAAAAAATGAAGAATGAACTTTTTCTTTTTAAGAAAAAAATCTCTGGTTGCCAAAAAGTTGATTCGAACCCATGGCAACCCAAGGGGAAGCCATGTGTATGTTTGTTGGAGTGGGATTTCGATCCATAGTTTTCTTTTTAAAAATATTTATCTGGTTAGTTTTGCTTCCCTGTCCTTCCCTTTCCCTCCCACCTCCATTCCCCTTCCCCACAGACACTCAAGTCTATTTTTTTAATAGGAAAACTTTTTTTCTTGACTTCTTTCTTTTAAACAGTGACCTCATACAGTATTTGCTTTTATGAGAATGACTAATTTCATTCAGCATAATGTCTTCCAAATTCATCCATGTTATGAGGCGTCTGACAGTTTCATCAATCTTTTGTTTTAAGATCATTTTAGTGGGGGCTCTTACAACTCATCCATCCGATGTGTTGAGCACATTTGTACACAGGTTGCCATCATCGTTTTCAAAATGTTTCTTTCTCTCTGAGCCCTTGGTATCAGTTTCTCATTTTACCCTCCTCCCACCCACCATCGTGACCCCTTAATAAATTATAAAATAGTATTATTTTCATATCTTACATAGACTGCTGTCTCTCTTCCCCCATGGTTTCTCTTGTTCATCCCCCTGGGGTGTGTGTGTGTGGTTTGGTTGATCATTGCAATCGGTTCCACATTGCTCCCTTCCTCTCCCCCCTCCCCCCTCCCCTCCTGGTATCTCTACTCCCATTTCTGTTCCTGAGGGGTTTATGTGACCTGGATTATGAGTGTGCTGAGCTCTTATCTCTAGCTGTGTACATGCTCCAGTCTAACCCGCAGTGAAAGGTAGCACTGGGGTCATGAGAGTGGGGTGGGGTGGTGGGGTGAGGAAGCCTCAAGAAACCAGAGGAATAGTGTGTGTTTTATCAGTGCTACACTGTGCCCTCATTGACTCATCCCTTCATCATGACCCTTTTGTGAAGGCATGTCCCATTGTCTACAGATGGGCGTTGGGTTTCCACTTCATCCCCCACTCCTTGTTTGTATCGATATGATTGCTTGTTCTGGGTCTTCTGGTGCCTGATACCTGATCCCATGGACACCTCATTATCACACAGGCTAGTGTGCTTCTTCCATGAGGGCTTGTTGCTTCTTGGCTAGATGGTCACTTGTTTAACTTCAAGCCTTTAACACCCCAGGTGCTATATCTTTTCATAGCCAGGGATCATCCACTTTCTTCACCATATATGTTTATGCACCCATTTTGTCTTCAGCAATTGTGCTGGGAGGGTAAGCATCACAGAATGCCAGTTTATTAGAACAAAATGTTCTTGCATTGAGGGAGGGCACGAGCCAAGTGTGTCCACTTCCTCAATGTATTGCCATATAAATATATGTACCTATGCCAATACTTTTATTTTTATGAATTAATATATTTACTTAAGTGCACACCTGTGTTTATACCTCTATCCATAGCTTTGCTTCCTACATCTTTCTTTTGTTTCCGTTTACCTTCCTCCTTTCCCACCATCACGCTCACCCTTCTTCTGCCTCTTAGTAATTCCTCTCAGCTAGATTGCTTGTAAAAATGAACCTAGACTTAAAATAAATTGCCATTCACTAGACTATGAGCACTGACCCAGATAAAACCATCTGCAAAGTTAATAGGAAACCTGATTTCTCCGAATGCCATGCCGCAGCTGTAAATGCCATAAAGGGTTTCTAATTGGAATGACTATTACTTTGTTATCACTGAGAAACTTCATTCTCTAAAACCCTAGACTGTCAGAATCTTTACTCTTGGAAATTTTATTTGTGAAAATGAAATACAGTAATCTACCCTTGTCTGGAGAATTTAAAGCACACAGAAAAGCAGCCCTGATTTCCAGCCCAGGTACAGAGCTACTGATGAGGGATATCTGGACTATGATTATTCTCTGTCTATCACAGTGTTATTGATTTCAAGAAAACAGGATTCTGGGCCTGCTTTACTGTCCAGATTTTATGTTTACACACAGAACTGCTTTGCTTTGAGCTTATCCAAACACTGCTTCATTAAAATGTCACCTGAATGCTACCTCGGCTCTGAATCCATAATAACTCCTATCTTGGTCAGTGAGGATTCCTCCCCCTCTGATGTGTGGTTTCCCTCATTACAATGGGTCAATTAACCTACCTCTGTCAGACGACAAGTTAGTCCCTGGTGATTTTAGGCTTATTGGTCTAGGACAGTGGTTCTCAACCTCCCTGATGCCACCACCCTTTAATACAGTTCCTCATGTTGTGGTGACCCCCCAACCAGAAAATTATTTTCATTGCTACTTCATAACTGTAATTTTGATACTGGTATGAATTAGGACCCACAGGTTAAGAAACACTGGTCTAGGACATATCTTGCATTCAAACAAACAAACAAACAACCCAAAACTCAAACTCAGTGCCATCGACTGATGCTGACTCAGAGTGACCCTAAGGACAAAGTAGAACTCACCTTGTGAGTTTTCTAGACTGCAACTCCTCATGGGAGTAGATAGCTCTTTCTCTTGTGGAGTGGCTGGTGGGTGGTTTTGAACTGTTTACCTTGCAGTTAGCAGTCCAACGTGTAACCACTACACTACCAGGACTCCTTCCTCTTGCACAAGAGATTGTTAAAAGAGACCCAGAGAGGATTTCAGTGGACTGAGAGCATAGAGTAAGTTCCCACCTGATTCTATGCCAGGTCTCCTCAAATACTGTCCTCACCAGTGGAGTCAGAAAGGCACAGAGCTTTCTTCCTCTGCCCGAAGGGCTTCCCGGAGAAAGAGAACTATATAAATTTCGTTTTGAAGGATATTAAAACACCTTACCCCAAACTCATTGCGGCTCGATGCTGTCTCATTGTGACTTTACAGGACAGGGTTGAACTGCCCACTGTGAGAATAACTGCATAGCTGTGGAGTTTACGGAGGCATTCAAATCTCACAGCCCATCTCCCGAAAGACAGCAGGTGGAATCTAACACTGACCTCTTTCCTTTTTCCCCCAGTGGTAGGTCCTTGGAGGACTTGCAATTTTGATTCTCGCCATTACCCCCTCCCCACAATATGGTATGGTCCTGTGACCACGCCTGGCTGGCCTCTTTTCAGCCTGGGGTCCTCCCTTGGACCTAACAGCCTCTGGCGCCTACACCTTTGTTTCCAGAGGCATCTAAGCTTCATTAACATTACTTAGATCTGTGGAGACCAGACCCAAAGACTCCTGCAAACCCGCCCGGAGAAACGTGTCTATCGGGCTCTCAGCCACCTGTAGGATAGCTCCATCCTTTCACTCTGTAAGTTTAGAGGCGTCCTTATTCTCAGTACGGAAGAGACCCTCTTTCAACATGGCGTGCCCCATAGAGAAGTACTACTTGGGCGTAGCCATGTTCCCCGTTTTACATTAAACCCCCCAAAGCACCTACTCCATAACTGCTCCCTGAATACGCTTGCTTGACAGCAGTTTCCAAGAGGACTATGCACATGCGCGCCCCTCCCATCTCCTGCCCCCATGCAGATTCCCCAAACCCGTGAAGGGGCGGTGCTAGAGGTGGCCACCGGAAGCGGCTGTGGCTCCCAGCAGCGGTTTAATAGTTATTGTCAGGAGGATTTCCAGGGCCCAGAGCCGGAGGGATGTTGAGGTGATGGGGGGCCGGGGTGGGTGAGTGTTGGGGTATTTTGTGTGGTCAGTGATGAGAGCGTCTTTCTAAATTTAGTTGGGCAATTCACTCATTAATTTTCAGGCTTTTTCTTTTAATATAAACGTTAAGGTCTTAAAGTTCGCTTTAAAACGTACAAGGTTTGCTGCATTATGTTCTAAGTGTTTTCTAAGAGTTAGTACTTTTTCTTTTACCTGTGAGTTATTTATAAGTACGTTTAAAATTTCCAGAAGTTAATATTTTAATGGATTGCTAATCTCAGTTTTCTATGGTCAGAAAAATGTCTACCTGCAGCTGTTGGATGAAATTGAAGACTTATGGCCTAGATGGTGGTGATTTTTAAAATAAAGGTTCTAGATGTAAATGGAAAGTAATATTTAATTATTTGATTGTTAATTGTGTTGTACAAAATGTGTGCTTTTTCTTTTTGTCTGCCTTTTCTATTATTGCTACAGAATATGTGCATTCTTCACTGTGATTGCAATTTGTCGGTATTTCTTTGCTACTGACCATGGTCTGTGTTGAGTTACTTTTTGTGGAAAATTTAGATCGAGGATCATTTCTGTTGATGTCCAATTGATGTTTATTTTCATTGATGTTCAGTTGCTCAAGCACCAGTTGTTGAAAACACTATCTTTCCACTGAATTGTTCGCACCTTTATACAAAATGAGTTGGCTGTATTGTGTGGGCCATTTTGGATTTTGCATTTTCTTTTGTTGTACCAATACTACACTATCTTAATTACTGTAGTTGTATAATCAGTCTTGAAATTAGAGTGAGTCTTCCTACTGTATTATTTTTAAAATTTAGCTCTTCGTGGCTCTTTATTTTCTATATAAATTTTAGAATAATTTTGTCTTTATCTATAAAACATTGTTGGGGTTTTGCTTGAATTTGCATTAAATCTATATATCAATTTGGGAAGATTGACTGTCTTTCTATGTTAAATTTCCCTGCCCATGACCACTGTATGGTTCTCCATATATGTATATCTTCTTTGACTTTTGTAATTTTTGACATTTAAGTCCTGTACATGTTTTGTTAAGTGTACACATGACTGTGATTTTTTGGAAGTGGTTGTAAGTAATACTCTTTACCATTTTGGTTTCCACATGCTTGTTACATATATATGGAAATAGAATTGAGTGTTGTCAGATGATCTTGTGTCCTGTGATTTGGCTGAGCTACTTATTAGTTCTATAGCTTTTGAAAACAGATTCTTTGGGTTTTCTATGTCAGCAATCATGTCAGTTTTATTTTTTCCTTTCTTATCTCTATAACTTTTGTTTTCCTTCCTTTTCTCTTACTGTGGTTGGTCACAGTGTGATATTGAGCCAGCCTTGCATTACTGGAGTAAACCCCACCTTGTTGTGGTGTGTAATTCTTTTTATGACTGGGTTTGGTTAACTAGTACTTTTTTGAGGATTTTTACATCTAAACTCATGAGAGACAATGGTCTGCAGTTCTTTTTGGGTACTGTCTTTCTCTGCTCTCAGTGTGAGTACAATATTGGCATCATAGAATCAGTTGGGGATAGTATCCCTCTCTCTTCGATTTTCTAGAAAAGATTTTGTAGAATTAGTGCTAATTATTCTTTGATGGTGGTAGAATTTTCCAGTCAAACCGTCTGGCCCTGGAAATTTCCTTTTGGAATCTTTTTTATTATGGTTTCAATTTCCAATTCCATTAATGGTTATAACACACTGCTGTTGAGTTGATTTCAGTTCATAGTGACTTTGGTGGCATACTGGTTATAGACTGAGCTGCCAACACTCCCTCCATGAGATAGGTGAAACCGTCTACTCCTACAAAGATTGAAAATCTTGGAAACCTGAAGGGGCAGTTCTACTCTGTTCTATAATGTCACTAGTAGTTAATAGTTACACCCCAAACCAAACCCACTGCTATCAAGGTGATGGCGACTCATAGCAACCCTACAGGACAGGGTAGAACTGTCGCTGTGAGTTTCCAAGATTGTAACTGTTGACAAGAGTAGAAAGCCCCATCTTTCTCCCATGGAGCAGCTGGTGGTTTTGAACTGCTGATCTTGTGGATTGCAACCCAAGGCATAACTACTATGCCACCAGGGCTTCTTTGGTTAATAGTTATAGGCCTATCCTAATGACTCTAATAGAGTTGTGGTATTTTATGTATGGATGGGGTGGTGGTTGAGGAATTGTACTGTTTTATCTAAGTTGCATTTGTGTGCATGAAGTTCTAATTAGTAATCACAATATTAATGGTTGCAGAATATGTAGTTTTATGTCATTTAATTCCTGATATTGGTATGTTTCCCTTTATTTTTTGTCAGTCTTGCTAGAAGTTTACCATTTCTTTTCAAATGATGAGTTTGAGGTTTCATTGATTGTTTTCAATTTCATTGAATTTTGCTCTTAATTCATTACTTCCTTCCTTCTGCTTAATTTGGGTTTCTTTTTGCCTCCCTAGTTTCTTAAAAGTGGGAGCTTGTTGATTAAAATATATTCTTTTCTACTGTAAGCTTTTTAAAAATCATTTTATTGGCGGCTCTTACAGCTCTTATCACAATCCATACATATATCCATTATGTCGAGCACATCTGTACATTTGTTGCCATCATCATTCTCAAAACATTTTCTTTCTACTTGAGCCCTTGGTATCAGCTCCTCATTTTTTTCCCTCTCTCCTCCACCCTTCCTCCCTCTTGAACCCTTGATAATTTCTAAATTATTATTTTTTTCATGTCTTACACCGACTGCTGTCTCCCTTACCCCACTTTTCTGTTGTCTGTCCCTCTTACATTTTACTTTCAACATTGCTTTAGCTATATCCCATAAGTTTTGATATTTGATATTTTAATTTTCATTCAATTCAATGTATTTCTCCTCTTTCTTTCTTTCTGTTTTTTTTAAAAGAGTTAAGCCACAAGTTTATTAAAGCATAGAGTCACTTCAAAAGAGAAGAAGCGGATCCCCCCTCACAAGGTGAGGTGAGGACGTTGCCTAGGGGATCACTTCTAGTTTTATATGGCACTTTCAAAAGGGAGGGGGATTCTGCTCTCCAGATGGTCAAACGATTCTCTAATTAGTTCCTCGGTTCATCCTTGGGTCGCACACATCGATTCTTTTGGTTTTATCTGGGCTGCTGCTTTGGGTCAACATGTCTCAGACTTCTCTTTGAGTACAGTCCTGTACCAGAATGTTACGGCGGACTGGCTTTAAGGTTAGGGTGTTTACCAAGCCAGTTCTCACAGAGTCCTTTGCTCATAGAAGTCCCTGTTCTGTCTAATGAAAGGGCTCATTAGGAAGTCAATAGTCAAGTGAGGATGAGCAAGTAGTCACAGGCCTCCTCAGCCATCAATCATGTCTCTTTCCGTATCCAGAAAGGTAACCTGGAGGCGGGGGTTGAAAGAGGGAACCGATTACAAGGATCTACATATAACCTCCTCCCCGGGGGACAGACAACAGAAAAGTGGGTGAAGGGAGACGTCGAACAGTGTAAGATATGACAAAATAATAATTTATAAATTATCAAGGGTTCATGAGGGAGGAAGGAGGTGGGGAGGGGGAAATGAGGAGCTGATACCAGGGGCTTAAGTGGAGAGCAAAAGTTTTGAGGATGATGAGGGCAATGAATGTATAAATGTGCTTTACACAATTGTATGAGCCCCTAATAAAATGATTTGAAAAAAAAAGAAAGAAAAAGAAAGGTTGCCTGCTGGTTGCTCAGTTTCACAGTTCTGTGGTCTCCGATTAGATGAGGAGAAGGTACCCCGTAATCTTGGTGCTGCTCCTCTGAGTGTCCGGAACAAAGTCTCTGCTGCATCTGGTCTTGGTAGCCCTACGACTTCAGACAGAGATCTTGAACATGCTCTTCCAAGGTCCTAGGGGTTTCTCTCTCTACCACTGCTTCAAAGAATGACTCTTCCTTAGGGCCAAGGGGTGGTCGTCTCTTCTTTCTTTGTTGTGGCCAAACGTACATGCTGAAATACCCACCTACACAACAAATTCTATAGCCCCAATTTAGTGATGGGAACCACACTTCTCATGTTATGCTACCATCTTTGCCATTTCTCTCCAGAATATTCCACTGCTATTCCATTCATCACCCCCTATTCTTACTTGCCTTTTTTTTCCTCACAAAAATCATTGGTCTCTATATAATTGCTTCTTTCAAAAAAAATAATAGTTATTTTAACAGTTTTACCAACATACAATTCACATATGTTTTAATAGTTCAGTTACACTCATACAAGTTGTACAACCCCCCTCACAGAAGGGTCACAAGGAAGGGACAAGTCAGCCAGGGTGCAGTATAGCACCGACAAAACACACAACATTCCTCTAGTTCTTTAATGCTTTCTAACCCCCACTATCATGACCAGTTCTAGCTTACAGATCTGGTTACACCAGAACATGTACACTAGTACAGATAAGAGCTCTAGACACACAGAATTCGGGACAGATAACCCCCTCAGGGCCAATAAGGAAAGTAGCAATACCATGAGGGTAGGCGGAAGGTGGGGGAAGAAGAGGGAGAAAGGGGGAACTGATCACAATGATAGACATACACTACCACCATCACCACCCCAGGGGGACAAACAACAGAAATGTGTGTGAAGGGAGACAGCGGACGGTGTGTAATATGAAAATAAAAATAATTCATAAATTATTAAGGGTTCACGAGGGTGGGAGGGTGGGGGAGGGAGGGGAAAAAGAGTAGCTGATATCAAGGGCTCAAGTAGAAAGAAAATGTTTTGAAAATGATGATGGCAACATATGTACAGAGGTGCTTGACACAATGGGTATATGTATGAATTGTGATAAGAGCTGTAAGAGCCCCCAATTAAATGAGTTATTAAAAAAATTGTACAACCATTACCACACTCAATTCCAGGACATTTCTTCTTTCTTGTACTTGTTGTTGGCTCCCCATTTCCTGCCAGCTTCCCCTGCCTTGTCCCTTTGCCTCTAACTATATAATTGCTTCTTTCATATAAGTA